GCTCTGTCTCAAAAAAAAAAAAAATTTCTTTGGGGTGATTTACATAGAAGTTTATCACTGACCTGTGTTCCTGAGCTATGAATATGAGTAATAAATAAACTATTAATGAAAAAAGATCACCTGTAAACAGATCTTTATTCATGTATTTGATAAAGTAACTTTCTTTAAAAGGAATCAGAAAATAGCAAATGAAGGACAATTATGCTGGTTACCATGGGCATTCAATTGTTACGCGGAGCTAACATTATTTCATTTAATTCCCACTGCAATTCCATCATGGATTATTCCTAATCACTAGAGAACTGAGACTCAGAGAATGTTAAGAAACTTGTACCAGGTCACACAGGAAGAGGAAGTGGTAGAGCCAAGAATCAGTCATACATTGGCCCAACTCCAAAGTCCATGCTCAAACCTCTCTGCTTTACTTAAACAGCAGAGACTCTTTTTCAAGTAACCAATCACTATTGAAGTACAACCTGTTTTACTTCCTCTGGTCTGGCCTACGAGTTCTGTCAGCAGAGCCCATGACATTGCTTTCCTAATTCCTATTACAGTAGCAATAGCAACAAAGTTTTGCTATATAAAGCCAAATGAATTCAAACCAATGAATTCATCATCACTGTGCCTACAAGTTCCAGGACACATTATTCCAACTGGGCCTCACCTGGGGAAAGAACTGAATTTTTAACAAGCAAGTTTTTAATGGGTACATAAACCTTGCAGTGGTCAGTTTCACGGTGTCACTGTAAAGGGACTGAACATGTAGCAATCTGCGCTACAAACAGAAAAGAGAACCGTACCGGCTACTGAATTATGTGATTATTTCAAAAACAAAAGCTGTCTTTTGAGTCAATTCTTGAAGACAGAAACATTCTATAGGTGACACCCTGTATTCTGATCCTTGCACTATTTTCCCCCAGTGGAGGAAGAAAAACTGGACACATGACTTTCAAATTGGAACTAATCTAACATTTTCTGGCCTAATGCTTCTGAAAAAAGATTAGGAGACAAAACACAAAGAAAGACAAACATGATAAAATAACTTTTATACAGGATTAGTAGATTGTTTACATATAAAAAACAGAAAGAACCTCATTACAGTTAGATTTCACATAAATTACACAGATTGACTTTTTAAAACTACTATTCAACTACAGTTAAAATCCCTTTTAAAAAATTCATTTTGAAGGCACAGTGCATGAAATAAACCAACAACTGAAGCACTTGAGATGAATGGGTGTTGGACACCTCATATAAATAGCTACAGATTGCTCTGGAGCTGAGCAGTATCACTCTGAAAAAAATGGAGAAATGAAATGTTGATTTTTAATCTGATCATTAAAAAATATCTTTAAGTCATATCTCCAGAATATCTGCAGCATGGCCAGCATAGAATGCAGTTAGTAAACTTATGCCATTTATAAAAACCAAAATCATATATATTTACATAATTGATCATAACTGATATCCAATTGCCTCAAAACGGTAGTCTACTGTCAAATTTCTTAATGTATTTTATCAAATCAAAATCAACCAGGGTAATACAGTGGAATCACTAATGAATTATTGCTAAAAATAGGAGAAATAGGTTCTTAGAAGAGATTTCCTCATGAATTAGAAATCCAAGTTTAGTTGGTGTTAATCAAGGACCCTAATTGCCCTCTAAAAATCTGCTCTGATTAAAACAAATCAGAAATTCAAATAGTTATCGAAAAGTTGCTAGGCAGAAAATCATTAAACATCAATAATAATGGAATTTTTAGTAATAACAATAATGCAAAAATATGGGGGAAATGCTGGGTTGTTCCTGTTGAAAACAATTCCACCAAAGAACCATGACAATAGGGCACTATTACAGCATTCATAGCCAAGAAGCGTCTAATACAGCAGGGGCAAAACCTGGCACAAGTGCATTTCTGGCAACAAGAAGATTAAACTAGTTAATGCTGAGAATGAATAGAAATGGACATGGTTACTAAGTAACTGGTGTGAGCTCAGAAACACAATAAGCTCAGACATAAACACTAACCTTTTATTTATTTGTCAACTCATCATTATTTTTAAATTCAATAGTAATTAATTCAGCCAATCCCATTCAGGTTAAAGTTACCAGAGGTTAACTGATCAATCACACTGGGCCAAATATACAATATGTTTCCTTTCTGGAACACCATAAAGTCCCAAAGCAAATCTCTTCAATGAGCATCGTGAGCGTTCCTCTACTGGATAGAATTCCACTCACCATCCAAGTGTTCTATAACATACATCAAAACCGAAGAGCATTTCCTTCTGAAATTATTTGGGCTCATCTTACTGAGCCACATAATCAATATAAATACATTTACATAGGCAGACACTTTGACATTACCTACTCAATCACACTGTTTTTT